GTAAATGGATGCTAGGTTAGGAATTATGTTTGTGTTTTTAGAATAGTTAATAAGAGGCACCACACACACACACACACACACACACACACACACTCCATTGGGATGAACAAGAGCCAAGGAACAGAAATCTAATCTTTTTCTCCCCTGTCCTCATCCCAATTAAAATGCTACTAGGCTTCCATTGACAGCAGTGCTTACTTTATTCCAGATCTCCTAGTTAATGTAAGAGAGGCTTTTCTTTGGCCCATCCAAAGTCCCATTGGTCCCCATTATTAGCCCCCATTAGCCAAAAAGATCAGGCTGCTGTGATCTGTAATGGCTGTCCTGTGCTAGACTTGTTTTCATGAATTTGGCAACTGAATCTGCCAAATCATTTTAATTTGGTATGCAAAAATGAAATCTTGCACACCCCTAGAAAATGAGAAAAATAATGGTTTTATTATTATTATTATTATTATTATTATTATTATTATTATTATTATTAGGGAAGAGTATTTTCAAGCTTCTGATGGTTGAACCTGTGGATGCAAAATCCATGGTTTGGAAAGCAATAGAGATACCAGTAGTGTGATGACCTCAGAGAATAGGGGATATATGTATAGATAAGTGCTTATATCTCACATGATTCTATTCTCTCCTCCCTTCAACTCCCACAGTATATGTGAGTGTTGCCAATATTTCACGTAAACCATTGTTTTCTAAAGGAAAGGCTGTCCTTTTTGCTTCACAAGGTAAGGGGAAAAAAACAAATTATGTTAAACCAGCACATAATGTCATCCCACCCCGCATTTTCTTTCCTATGTCACACAGCCTGATTTATTAAGGAGACTTGGAAACCCAGATTGAAAACCTGAAGCCCAAATAACACTTTTTCTGGTTAGCTTTATCTGTTGTCCTGCATTCTATTTCCATCATAGTCAACCACATATCTATGGGAAGCCCACAGGCAGGACCATTAGTACCCAATATCCTTATACTTTTGAGGAGAACTGCTTCTACCAGCTGTTGTTTTTCTAATTAATTGGCATTCAGAAGCAAATTACCTCTGATTCTGAAAATCCTATAAAGCAAACATGTCTCATGTCCATTAACATCCTAGTCAAGCTATACCTAAGTGTCTGTCGTTTCGTGCACTATTCCTTCCCTCTGATGTAGCTCCCCTTCCACATATACAAGCACACATTTTATATCCTTTTCATTTTTATCAAAAAGATTTCTCTTCTTTGAAAATCTCTCCCTTGGGTGTTGTCTTTTTCCTCTGATAAGGAAGTCATGAAAGAGATCCTTAAATCCAAGATAACAAGTGTGGCCCACATTTCTCCTTATTCCACTCAAGTCCTACGTTCAGCAAATAGTACCATAAACTGGTGCACTAACAAAAATGCAAACCTAACAGTAATTTCTGGTCTCTGTTTCAATTAAGAGAGAAAGAATGACTTCATCATCCAAAGTTCTGGAAAAGAATTGACATGTGATGATACTTGAACACTGTTAAAATACAAAAAGTGTGAACACTCTGCAGAGACTATGAATTACTTAACAGATGTGAAGAGAACTTAAAAGACCTAAGAATATCATTTTCCCATACTAGCTCTGCGTCTGCATTTTTAGCAGAATACTCACAGTGACTCTGGCTTTGTGATTTATACTCAAGTGCGTTTTTGATAGTATATTTTTGGCTGCAAGATTTCCATTTCGCATTCTGAGCGCTTCTCATTTTCTCCTTATAAGGAATAATATTAATTCATACTTGTTACGGAAAGAGTAGGAATGCAGCTGTTTTGTACTGAGACATATAGATAGATAGATAGATAGATAGATAGATAGATAGATAGATAGATAGATAGATAGATAGATAGATAGATAGATAGCCAACTTCTTAGGAAAGTCTCTTAGGTATTTCACAAGGATGTTAGCTGCAATTTTGCTTGTTATGTGGCTGAAAATGCCCATAGTTGTTTTTTTGTACCCACATCTTTCTAAATGTTTTTGAGTCTGTTTGTCTGGATTATACCACAAGCTAAACAAGTAGCAAGAGTTGCACCTCTGGCTAGACTCCATCATGACTCCTGTCCTGGATAATTATATGATACTGGCATTCATCTTTGTTAACTGACTGGATGGCTCTTCTCAGACACTGGTACTGCTGAGAGATGGAAGGTCTTGGGATCCAGTCATCTATTTCATTCCCTTCCAACATATTTAACTCCATTTCCGTCATTCCAAGTCAGCATGCTGTCTAGAGATTATGGGTGTTGTGGTTAGGCACATCTGGAGGGCAGCAAGTTGAGGGAAACTGTTCTGTTCTAACAGTTTACACTGACAAAGACTGACAAATGTATCGTGCCATAAGATTTTATCAACCAAAGCATGCTTCATCAGATGTATGGAATGTGATCTTGAGCTGACAGGGATGTAAACATACTCTCACGGAGGAGATAAATGTAAACATTAGAGGAGAATGAAATGCAAGGAGCTGAGTTCAAACTTCAGAAGTGTGAAAAATAGTTAGAGTGACCATTCACAAACTAGAGTTAATACACACCCTGCCAATGATACATTATTTAATACTTGTACTGTGATGAAGATAGGGAGTCTGAATTCAAATGATAAAATTTCTTAATTAAGTATTTTCATGTTGGTAGCGTCACTTCTGAGGGAAAAAATATAGTGAATTATTTCTGTAATCCTAACTTCACTACTGCAGTCTTCTAAAGACCAACTTCATTGTGCAATCAGCTCTTTTCCCACAGATTCTGAATCCAGCCATCCACAGCTTAAAAATATTCAAACATACTTCCAAAAAGCAATTTTTGATTTGCCATTATATATAAGGGACAGAGTTTTATTATGCCGTTGTACATAATATAATTGAATATTAATGCATTTTTGTGCCAATGGGGGATCCAAATCTCAGCAGATAACGTATCTTAAGTCTGTTGAGTCATGTAGAACATATTACTAAACATGTTTGTGTAAGATTGCAGCCCTTGATTTTTTAAAGTTAGATGCTTTATATCCTTACTATACTCTCATAATATATTGAGTATTTAATTTGTGTTGAAATGAATTCAGGATTCTGTCACCAAGTGAGCATACTCTTTCCCCAGCAAAATTTGATTAGATTTATTCATATGCATTATGGAAATAAAATTATGACGTTTGCCAGTTTTTACAAAATTGTTCTCCTGTCTGGAAGCAAATTAAACTTAATCCCATTATAATTTGAAATCTCATGTATCTAGATCTCTCATAGTTTCTGGTGTGTTCAGGAGGGTCTTATTAAGAAGTTTGAGTAATATGGATCGTTCCAGATATGTTCCACTACAACCTCCATCATCCCAGGAACTATACTGTAATATCTGAAAGGTATCAGATTGGGGGAAGCTGTCTCGTATACATCCATGAGTTACTTCAGAGGAGGTGAGAAATTGCCTTGTTCTCCAGATATTATTGAAATCCAAGTCCTAGTTATCCAAGGCAGCATAGTCTGTCAGTCTGTGTGATAGTACTGCATCTCTCAAGCAGAGTACAGTCATTCTTCCACATGCACTTGGGCTAGGGATACAGGACCTCCACAAGAGAAGGAAAAAACACATTTTTAAAAAAACAAACCTTATTTTTTATTCCAAGAGAAATCCCTCTAGGCATTTCTAGATCCTTCAATAGAACTCTGTGGTTAACATCTGCTGTATTTTGACCATAGAAGCATACTAGCAAATCGATAAAAGTATAGAGTTTTCTCTAGGAATCTAGGTCCTCCAGTGTAACTCATTTTCAGATGTTGACCTTAGAGTCATGATAAGGGTCCTAAAATTTCTAGAGGGAACATATTAATCTACTCTGCAAATAATCAAATCCACAAAAATGATACCTTTAAATGTGGAGGGCCTATTGTATTTAAATTGGCAAGACAACAACCATTTCCATGTTCCCCACAAAGTTTAGCAGATAATATATCACAATATATTCACAAATATTTGTTCATGTAATAATGTATACATTAATTGATTATTTAATTAACTAAACACAAGATATAAAAAAATATAAAATGGTTGTGGAGCACTTCATGCAAGAGAAGTGGGATAAAATAGCAAAGCAGATAGGAACTCTGCAGACATGAAAATTAGTAATGAGCGTCAGTATGCAAATGTTGTTAACTCTCGCATAGCTATTGGAGAAAAAATGGTGGGAGTTTTAAGTCTTATCATCTGGTGGGCTACATTGTCCATATTGCTGCTATATGGCCACAAAGCTTGGGCTCTTTCTGTTTAGAAATAAGTTCAGTTCCTTGGATACTGAATCCTCTGGCTCAGCATATTCCACACTTTTGTTTGAAACTGAGAATATATAAGGATTCTGAACATATTTCCCCCAGTTCTTATTACAAAGAGAAGTCATAAATGCAGTTTGCTGAAAATATATTTCTTGGTCCCTGGCATCTTTTTCATAAATCATTCTCTCCTATGTACTTTCACAGAAATATGTGCACATAAATCAGTTGTGAAAGCCTGCATCCTCCACATCATACTGCACTATTATAGCAGTCCTGGCCCTAAATATTTTCATTCTAGGTTCCCTGACCCATCATCCCCAGCCCTTGCCTATGGTTTCTGTTTCTTATTTCCTGCCCCTTCTCTCTTATTCCTCTATCTGTACATTCACTCCATCCACTTTTTATCTGTTCTGTCTCATTGTGGACAACTAGGTGTCCTTGTTCCCCACAAAATTTGTTTTTAATACTATTACAGAATTTTAGACGTAGCCTAAGTAGCCACTCTCCATTCTCATGAAACTGAATTGTGAGCCTTCTGTTCTTGACAACTTCATTCCTTGAGATTTGAAATTTCCAGGAACCATCTGGTGTCATAGACTTGACTACCGTAATTGCACCACAGCACAGATGGTGGCCTGTACTGCAACATTTTGTAAGAATCAGTCTCAGGAATGTTTATTGGAAAATATTTCTGATCTATTTCATGTTAACATTTTTTTCCTAGGATTGAAAGAAAATACATCACAAGATACTGGAAAGAAGTGAAAGTTGGAGACTTCATCCAGCTGCGTTGCAATGAAATCATTCCTGCTGATATATTGCTGCTTTCTTCGAGTGACCCTGATGGCCTGTGTCACATAGAGACGGCTAATCTGGATGGGGAAACCAACTTGAAACAGAGACAAGTTGTGCGAGGATTTTTGGAGCTGGTACGTTAATGTGTCTTAATAGGTGTGTTTGAAAAATATGAAGGACCTCATGGGGGGGGGGGGGGGTTAGGGAAAACAACCCTGGGCTCCACTTTTCGACCTTATTTTATGGCTATGCCCCTTTTGTAAAGCCTTGGCATCACGAAAATGGGAGGTGTGGTCCTGCAGAAATTTGGTCACAATGAGCGGTGCCCATGATATATGTAAGCTTTGCACTATTTTCTTTCTTTTTAGCACAGTTTTTATTCTTCTCCCTGTCTGATGAGGGGATCACTACATAGTGATTGCTCTGGCCCCTTTCCTTCCATTACAGAGGAAGGAGGAGGTGGGTGTGGGATGACTTGAATCACCCCACAACTTTCCTCTCCTGGCCATAACAAGTGGGGGGAGGGAAGAGGCAAAACATTTGATTAAGTCAGAAGTCTGTGTTTGTTGAAGGTATACCATCCACACACCCAGAATCAATGTAAGTAAAATAGCATTGGCCTCTTGTAGAAAAACAAACACTCCAGATTCATAATCCCCATGATGGCTATCACTGAGCTTATAGTATTGGGGAGGTAGGAGGTTGCAGGAGCATAGAAGGGTGCACCAGATTCCTCAGTAGAGCTGCATTCCGCCAAAAGAAATCAAAAATTGCTTTTGTTTCTAAAATGCCTATAAACACTATCTAGGAGGCACCACAGCATTTTGCCATTTTAAAAAATTATCCTAGATCTATTCTGGGCTTGTGAGATACCTTTTTAGCAATGGTGACATGCCAGTGCAATTTTTGGGCAATGCAGAGGTGCAAATTGGCTTTTACATCTCCACTCATCTTCCATCTCTTTATAGAAAAACAGGATGTGCAGTACAATAATCTGCATACTTATTTAAACCCAGTCTTATTCACATGTAAGGGGGAGTTCAACAGCATTGGGAGGATCACAAACTGCCTTGATTTTATAGTGTGGAAGAACAATTTGGTTTCTGAAGAGCTGAATCACTAAGTCAAGTGGGGAGGATGCAGTATCAAAAGGCCAGAACTCAATCAATATTTTGAAACAGCAGAGATGCAAGTTCAGAGCCTCCTTTTGATGCATTTGGGCCATCTCACCCAAACCTGCTTCATAGATTTGTTGTGATGATACACTGAAAGAAGTGAAAAGAACCTTCTCCGTTACTTTGAGCTCAAGGAGATTAAGCTGGATTCATAAATAAGTTATAGAGTTTGGAAACATCTATGTTGTTTTTGTTTTAATATAACTCCTCGACTGGCCATGGTGACCAGGGGATTTTGGGAGATATAGTCCAAATAGTAACATTTCCAAGCCATGAATATTTTTTTACAAAAAAAGACTATTATTATTATTATTATTATTATTATTATTATCTTTATTTGTACCCCGCTAGCATCTCCCGAATGACTCGATGTGGCTTACAAAGGCCAAGGCCTCAAAACACAACATAACAATACAAAACCTAAAGCAGATTAAAAACAATTAAAGCAATATTAAACAATAAACAATACACCAAGACACAGTAAAACTGGGCCGGGCCAGAGTAATGGGTACAGAATTAAAAGTGCTGATGTGACAGGTGATATATAAGGATTATAGGGTAAGTGCAGTGTGCAGTGTGCGGCAATCTTAATTCTAATAAAGTGCTTCTGGGACTTGTTATTAGAGTTTTCCTATTCTGGAAAGGTGCTTTCATGCCAGGGGGCCATCAAAACTAAGTCTCTGCTAATCCTAGGTGTAGGAGGAAGAAAGAGGATGATTTATCAGTTTTCAGTCTCGCCAAACTTCAACTGGCTTACTAGAACAATAGATCGTATCTAGAGATAAAGCATAGTTTACCAGTTGATCCAGTAATATTCATGACATGGCTAAGATCTCTTGTCATCTGATCAGAGTTTCAATTTTGTGTCTCTTTGGACTAAAATTCCCATAATTTGAAAAGTAACATTGACTTTTGCCAGAACAGTTATAAAGATTCATTTTTAATCAGGAGATAGAATAAGTTTGGTACATAATAATCCAATTAATTTGATGAGATTTGATTTTAACCTTGAATCAGAGATTGGGATGAAAGATTTTTAAATTATTTGATGTTAATAAATAATGAAGATGCAGACTGTGGCCAGGAAATCAGAAGACGTTTACTTCTTGGGAGGAGAGCAATGTCCAATCTCGATAAAATAGTAAAGAGTAAAGCCATCACCCTGGCAACAAAGATCCGCATAGTCAAAGCAATGGTATTCCCTGTAGTAACCTACGGATGTGAGAGCTGGACCTTAGGGAAGGCTGAGCGAAGGAAGATAGATGCTTTTGAACTGTGGTGCTGGAGGAAAATTCTGAGGAAAATTCTGAGAGTGCCTTGGACTGTGAGAAGATCCAACCAGTCCATCCTCCAGGAAATAAAGCCCAGCTGCTCATTGGAGGGAAGGATACTAGAGACTAAGTTGAAGTACTTTGGCCACATCATGAGGAGACAGCAAAGCTTAGAGAAGACAATTATGCTGGGGAAAGTGGAAGGTAAAAGGAAGAAGGGCCGACCAAGGGCAAGATGGATGGATGGCATCCTTGAAGTGACTGGACTGACCTTGAAGGAGCTGGGGGTAGTGACGGCCGACAGGGAGCTCTGGCGTGGGCTGGTCCATGAGGTCACGAAGAGTCGGAGATGACTGAACGAATGAACAACAACAAATAAATAATGTGGTTAGAGAAATGGGGAATTAATTAATTAGGCATGTAAAGCAGTGTGTAGTAAATACTATCTGTACCAATACCAGATGCACTCATCAATAAAACAGTGGCTAGTCATGTAGTAGTTTCTGGCAAATGCAGACTAAAGAAATTATTTCAAGTTAAAATTATTAAAGATAAAAACTAATGGCTTATTGCCAACAATTTAGGGGGAGGGGTTAAATAGTGATGATGTAAGTATGTTAAGAAGGAGACGTGTAGGATAGATTATTGTTGTTGTTGTTGGTAGATAAAGGAATCCATTCATTTAGTTGGCCATCTTGAAGTTTCCCTTTCTATTTGTATCCCTGAAGAATGAGGCAAAGCTAGGTAGCAACCACATCAGCCTCAGCAGACTGAAAGCCAAAACCAAGGTTACAACAACATCTGTTATAGAACTCCAGTATGCTGATGACAACATCGTCTGTGCGCATTCAGAAGAAGATCTACAAGCCACTCTAAACATCTTCGCAGAAGCATACGAGAAGCTCGGTCTGTCACTGAATATCGAAAAAACCAAGGTGCTGTTCCAGCAGACACCAGCCAACCCCTCTCCAATGCCAGCGATACAGCTTAATGGTGTAACATTAGAAAATGTTGATCATTTCCGCTACCTTGGCAGCCACCTCTCCACCAAAGTCAACATCGACGCCGAAATACAACACCGCCTGAGCTCTGCGAGCGCAGCATTTTTCCGAATGAGGCAGAGAGTGTTTGAGGACCGGGAAATCCATAGGGATACCAAGGTGCTTGTCTATAAAGCTATTGTCCTCCCAACCCTGCTATATGCCTGTGAGACGTGGACTGTCTACAGATGTCACATACAACTCCTAGAATGATTCCATCAGTGCTGCCTCCGGAAAATCCTGCAAATCTCTTGGGAAGACAGGCGGACAAACGTCAGCGTGCTGGAAGAAGCAAAGACCACCAGCATTGAAGCGATGGCCCTCCGCCATCAACTCCGCTGGACTGACCACGTTGTCTGGATGCCCGACCACCGTCTCCCAAAGCAGTTGCTCTACTCTGAACTGAAGAACGGAAAACAGAATGTTGGTGGACAGGAAAAGAGATTTAAAGATGGGCTCAAAGCCAACCTTAAAAACTCTGGCATAGACACTGAGAACTGGGAAGCCCTGGCCCTTGACCACTCCAACTGGAGGTCAGCTGTGACCAGCAGTGCTGCAGAATTTGAAGAGGCACGAATAGAGGGCAAAAGGAAGAAGCGTGCCAAGAGGAAGGCGCGTCAAGCCAACCCCGACCGGGACCACCTTCCACCTGGAAACCAATGCCCTCACTGCGGAAGAAGATGCAGAGCAAGAATAGGGCTCCACAGCCACATACGGACCCACAAGAACACTGGAAGACAATCCTCCTCTGAAAACGAGGGATTGCCTAAGTAAGTAAGTAAGGTGGGGTATAAATAAATTATTATTATTATTATTATTATTATTATTATTATTAACACAACAAGATGAGTCCACAACAGATATTCTGCTGGCTGTTGAACTGGATCACATGTCGGACACTTCCCAAGTGTCTAGGACTGTGTGATGTATCAGTGAATAATGTGTGCAGATCCCAGTAAGGTGGCCTTCTGCAACTGGCAGATGGTAATTTTGTCAGCGCCGATTGTGTTTAAGTGCAGGCCAAGGTCTTTAGGTACTGCACCCAGTGTGCCGATCACCACTGGGACCACCTTTACTGGTTTGTGCCAGAGTCTTTGCAGTTCGATTTTTAAATCCTCATATTGTGTCAGCTTTTCCAGTTGTTTCTCTTCAATCCTGCTGTCACCTGGGATTGCGACATCAACGATCCATACTTTGTTTTTTAACACGATTGTGAGGTCAGGAGTATTATACTCCAAAACTCTGTCTGTCTGAATCTGGAAGTCCCAGGGGAGTTTGACGTGTTCATTCTCTGTAACTTTTCCGGCTTGTGATCCCACCAGTTCTTTGTCGCAGGCAGATGGTATTTGTGGCACAAGTTCCAATGAATCATCTGAGCAACAGTGTTGTGTCTCTGCTTGTAGTCTTATCTGCGCGATCTTCTTGCAGCAGCTCAGGATGTGATCTATTGTCTCTTACTGTTCCTTCTTTGTGTGTTGTCTGACTGCTGTTTCTTCACATTTCTAGGTTAATTACTGTGGGATTATTTGGGGGGTTTTCTTTCATTTTTTTTCCTGATGGTGCAAAGATGCTTCTTTTTGTCCAACTCCCTGTTATTTTATTTTGTTTTTGTGAACCTGCATGCGGAGAATTGTACTTTTTTATTCTTGTGCATTGATTGTGC